TTGGCAGAGGCTGGAGGAAGTGGAGAATGGAAAGCTATTGTTTAATGGGTATAGAGTTTCTGTTTGGGATGATGAAAAAGTTCTGGAATTGGATAGTGGCTGTACCACACTGTGAATATACTGAATGCCACTTAATTGTACACTTAAAAATGGTTAAAATGGCAAACTATCTTATGTATATTTTACCACACATATATGTACGTGAACAATAGAGTTCAGAGTAATGTGAATGTGAGACACCATTAAGATTATCAATATATGTGTAATGGGAATGTAGGCAAATTTTTCAAAGAAAAAAATAGTTGAAAACTACCCACATTTATTGAAGAACATTTTTCTATACATCCAAGAAGCTCAATGGACTTCAAGCTCATGGACTCAATGGACAAAATGAGAGATCAACACCAGGCACATCATTGCAAAATGCTGAAACACAAGGAGAAAATCTCAAAGGAGCAAGAGAAATATGACTCATCACATATAAGGAAACCCCACAGCATAAACTTCCAATAACTCCTCATTGGAAGCAGTGGAGACCAGAAGGCAGTGGGATGGCATAGTTCAAGTGCTGGGGGGAAAACACCCTGGCAACTAAGGATCTTATATCCAACAAAACTATCTTTTTTTTTTTTTTTTCAAGATTTTATTTATTCATTCATCTGAGAGAGAGATGGAGAGTGCCCAAGCAGGGGGAGAGGCAGAAGGAGAGGGAGAACCAGACTCCGTGCTGATGAGTAAGCCCAACATGAGGCTTGATCCCAGGACCTGGAGATCATGACCTGAGCCAAAGGCAGACGCTTAACCAACTGAGCCACCTAGGTGCCCCATGAGAAACTATCTTTCAAATATGAAGGTAAGCATTTCCAAATAAACATAAACTGAGAGAATTTGTTGCTCAAGCAGCCATTTGATAAGAAATACTACAGGAAGTTCTTCAGGCTGAGAGCAAGTGACCCCAGAATGTAACTCGGTCCACATGAAAAAATAAAGAGCACCCACAAAGGTAAGTAATTATAACAGCTAGAATAAACACTTATTTCTTCTACTTATTTAAAAAGCAACTGTAGAAAGCAATAAGTGTATAATTGTATCACTGGCCTGATAGAATATACAAATATAAATAACAATAATGGCACATGTGATAGGAGCAAAGCTGCCTTAGATCAAGGAAATGATACCAGATGGTAACTCAAATCTGCAGAAACAAATTAAGAGAAATGAAAATGGTAAATAAGGTGAGTAAAACAAACTCCATATATAGTCCCTCAGTTTCTTTCTGAAGCACAAGATCATATAAAATAATTATAACAGTATATTTGGCACTTGTACCATACACAGATATAATATGTTTAATGATAATTGCACAAAGCAGAGGAAAAGGAAATGAAACTATATAGGTGTAACATTTCTTTTTTTTTTTTAAGATTTTAAAGTTGATTTATTTGACCAACAGAGATCACAAGTAGAGGCAGGCAGAGAGAGGGGGGAATCAGGCTCCTCACTGAGGAGAGAGCATGATCCCAGGACCCGGAGATCATGACCTGAGCCAAAGGCAGAGGCTTAACCCACTGAGGCACCCAGGCGCCCCTAGGTGTAACATTTCTATATGTCACTGGAATTAGGTTAGAATAAACTTGAAATATCCTGATAAGTTAAGATGTATATGGTAAGCACATAGAGCAACCACTATGAACATAACAAAAACACGTAGTGCAAAAAATCATTAAAGGAATCAAAATTTTACTAAAGAAAATATTCACTAAATACGAAAGAAATCAGCACAGAGGAATAGAAGGGGAACAAGACTTGAGACATAAGAAACAAGTAAAATAGCAAAGATAAATCCAACTTTGTCATAATATTAAATGTAAATGGATTAAGGAATCCAATCAAAAGGCAGAGATTGACAGACTAGATAAAAATATAAGCTCCAAATACAGATCTTCCTTAACTTTGGACAGGGTTATGTCCTGATAAACCCTGGTAAGTTAAAAATATGAACCATAAGTCAAAATACATTTAGGGGCATCTGGCTGGCTCAGTTGGTGGAGCGTGCAACTCTTGATCTCAGGGTTGTAAGTTCGAGCCCCCCATTGCGTGTAGAGATAACTAAAAAAAACTTAAAAAAATACATTTAACACACCAAACTTACATACCATCGTAGCTCAGCCATGCGTCCTTTAAATGTGCTCAGAACACTTACATTGGCCTATAGTTGGGCAAAACCACCTAACACAAGGCCTGTTTTATAATAAAGTGTTGAATATGTCATGTAGTTTATTGGCTATACTGTACTGAAAGTGAAAAGCAGAATGGTTGTATCAGTTGTTTACCCCTGTGATCACATGGCTGACAGGATGCTGTGACTTGCTGCCACCCAGCATTGCAAGACAGTGTTGTTTCACACAGGAAAAAAATAATCATTTGATGTATGGTTTCTACTGAATGCATATTGCTTTTGCAGCATTGTAATGTCGAAACATTGTTAGTTGAACCATTGTAAAGTTGGGGACTGTCTGTATATAGGGACTACAGGAAAGACACTTCATATTCAGAGATGCAAATAACTTGAAAATAAAATAATGGGAAAAGATATGTCATGCAAGCAGCAACGGTAAGAAAGCTGGAGTGGCTTTGTGAGTATCGGACACAAGAGACTTGAAACGTAGCGATAATGAGGTTCATTTTATGATGATAGCAAAACTGATCGAACTGCGGGGACCAGTAGACATTTCAACTGTCAGAGCTGAAGACTTGAATATCCCACTTCCAATAATGGAGAAAACAATTGTATGTGATCCACCGAGAATAGAAGACTTGGAAACACTGTGAACCCCTTGGACCTAAAGACTATGTATAGAACACTCTACACAGAAACAGCAGAAGACATATTCCTCTCAGGTGCACATGGAACATACTTTCAGGTGGAAACTTAGCTTTGAAAAGTAAAAAGGATTGCAATGATACAAGGTATGTTTCCTGATCACAGTGGAATGAGAATTGAAGTAAAAAATGGAAAGCAATTTGGGAAACTCACATATATGTGGGAATCAACCAACACAGTCCTGAATAACCAAAGGGTCAAAGATAAAGTCACAAAGAAAGTCAGAAAATACTTTGAGATGAATGGAAATAAAGACACACTACACCAAAAGTGGTGGGACACAGCCAATCAGTACTTAGAGGGAAATCTGTAGCCGTCCGGCATCACCACCAGCCATTTTCTGAACCGTTTTCCCCTTGCAAAACTGAAACTCTCTACCCCTCACCCCTCTAACCCCAGACCTTGGGAGCCATCATTCTCCCTTCTGCGCCTGCAAGTATGACTAATCCAAGAATGTCATGTAAGTGAAGTCGCGGTACTTTTCTTTATGTGACTGACTTATTTTACTGAGTAAGCTGCCCTTGAGGTTCATCCATGTGGAAGCGGGGGTCAGAGTCTCCTTGTTTTTGAAGGCTGAGTATATTCTGTGGTAGGCAAAACACACTGCGTTTTGCTTCTGCACTCCTGTCAGTGGACACGGGTTGTTTCTGCATTTTGGCCATGGTGAATAGCTTCTGGGAACATGGCGTGCACTTCTCTCTTCAAGACCCTGCTTCCCAGTCCTTTTACATACCCAGAATTGGAACTGCAGGATCATGTGGTAATTCTATCATTTTTTTAGTGTTATGAAAGGATATGATGAAGGATGGGAATCAATAGCCAGATGGAATTGATGCACTGGGTGAGATAGGGGAGAAGGGTTTGGAACTTCGTGTCCCCTCCATGCGCGTGACACAGGTTCACCAACCTAGAAGCTTCAATTTTTAATTTTTTGAGTACTCTCTTTTCCACATCAGCTGTACCACCTTAGCCGACCGCCAATAGGGCAGGATAGTTCTGATATCTCTACATCCTTGCCAATACTGTTAGTTTCAGGTTTTTTGTTTTATTTTTAAATATAGTAGCCATCACAATGGCCATGAGCTGGTAGCTTGTTGTAGCTTTGATTTGCATTTCCCTGATGGGTGCCGGTAAACATCCTACACGTGCTTCCTGGCCATTTGATTGTACGCTTTGGAGAAATGTCTGTTTAAGTTCTCACACAGTTTTAAATTGGGTTTTTTGTTTTCATGGCTGAGATTTAGGAGATCTCTACATTGTGGCTATTAAGCACTTATCAGATGCGGGAGTTGCAATCACTCCCTGTTGTGGGGTGACTTTTAACTGTGTGATCATGTCTTCCAAGGCACAAGACTTTCAAACTTTCATGAAGTCCAGCTTGTGAGAATGACTGGTGTTTTAATTTCACTGAAATTCTCAACCTCTAGTTTTCAAGCTGGAGGGTATTTGGGAAAATGAACTGGTTTACATCCCTGACAAGGCAAAAGAACCAGCGGTGATCACTTCTCTGAATTGATTGGAAACATATATTATAGTAAGGACTTGGGTTATGGACTTGGGTTAGTGGCCTCGGACCTCGTCTACTGTAAGGGCTGCCTCATATGGGATTACAGGTCCTAGAAGCCTTAAAAATGCTTTACCTGTCTGCTTAGGGTGAATCCATGGCCAAAAAACTTGAGGACAAAAGTTGCCTTCTCTAAGCGCTGCCCTTCTGTGCTATTAAGTTCTACAAGTCATTGACTGCTTCTCGATGAATGGAATGTTCATCTGTATAGTTATTGCTCAGCTTAGAATGAATGCTATCTAGAGTCTCAAAGCTCCCAGCTGGTTTAGAACGTGGAACAGCGTAGCAGGAAGCACCCGAGTTGGAGGTGCGCAGGTCTGTGTTCAAATCCCATTGAGGCACTTGTGTCTAATATTAGAGATACGCTGCTCAGCCTGTGGTTAAGTTCCCTAAGTGGGGTGCACCTGCTTCACCAGGCGGCTGCGAAGACCGAAAGAACACATGGAAAACACACACAGAGCTCTGCTTCCCAGGTGGGCACTAGCAACACAGCGCCCGTTAGAAGCGGACTCTGCCATCTTTTGTGCAGGAAATACAAAGAAAACAAGTAGCACTGGTTACAACACATTTATTCACGTACCCTGTTGTGTGATCGGGAGGTGCTTCTCACTCCCAGTAATTGAATTAGGTTTTAACAGTTAAAATTCCAGAAGCCAAACTAGTAATTTATTGGTGCTCAGAGCATAAGTAAACAGACATGGTACCACATAAAGGAATTTTAAACACTTCTAACTTTTGGTATAGCTTTGAATATGGACCGGTATACTTTGGCAGTGGACCTAATAGATTTCCAATATGCTTCGAAATCCCACAGTTCTTTCAGACACAACAGGAAAAATTTGGATTTAACTTTGGAATCTTGAGGATCAGAGATTCTCAGGAAGCTGGAAAAGGCCAACATTACTTAAGCCTCTACTTACCGTGAATACAAATTAGTGTTATTAGAAAGAAAATGGTGGGCAGCGGCCAACCGATTGCTAGTTTCATTTTTTTAGATTGCTTTAGTATTTTTTGAAAAGAACTGACCTCAGATGGCGGACTATAGAAACTTGTTATTTCCGAGGAGTTTTAACTTCGTAACCTTCCTGGACTACTAGTTATAGAGTCTCAGGTCTCAAGAAATTGATGGCATTATCAGATCGGACTTTATGCGTTACGTATTAGAAATAGCCGGTTCCAAGAGAGACTGCATTATACCGGCTGATTACTTTTCAGAATGCCTCTATTCCTGGCTTCAGATCGTACTTCCATGATATTTTGAGAGGGTTGGATAAGTGCTAACAAATGGGTACTCACAGCTAGGGCGGGAGGGAAGAATGTGCTCATCACCAAGGATGAGATTTTATGTTACATTAAATTAAAATTCTCACTGTTGGGAACAGACAAGACCAGGAGTTCCTAGATCCTAGAAAATATTATGGCTAAGGAAATAGAGAACTCAGGGAAGGGATCCACCTCCAAGAAACTCTTTCAGTAAAACAGAATTAAGTGCCCTGTCTTAGGAAACAGTTCACTACTGATCAGGAAGTGGGACATCACACATCGTTTCTTTGGAGATTAAAGTGCAGGCTACGAAATGGCATAGAAAACAATGCATAAAATAGTGCAATTTCAAGGTGCCGTGGTGTCTGTTTCTTACACACAGCCTCTGATCCTACGTCCATCTTTTCTCAAAAAACAACAAAAAAAAATCCAGCTATTGTGACACCTTTAGCTTATTTATTTAGGCATGACTCATACTGTTTTACCCACCTTCTGGGCTACATAGAATATTGCAACATTTTAACAAGTAGAATAATAGTGCATACACCTTCAAACTACTAAATAGAGATTAAGGCAAGCCCCTGTAAAGTTCAGTACTCCAGAAAACATGTTTTACCAAAAGAAAAAAAAAACCCCCAAAACGACAAAAAAAACAAACCAACCCCAAAAGCTCCTTCTAAGACCAGTGGCTTTAGACCAGATGGCACGCCAACGGTTTTTAAAACAGCGTGATTCATTACGGGGACTGCGTTTGCGTCTGCCCCATTATTTCCAGGCTCTGAAGAGCCAGAAAGGAGCTGAAAAAGCAGGAGGTTGAGTAACCTCAGGTCTTGAAAGACTTTGTATTTGGGATTAGGGGAAAACCGAGCCGAGTCCGTGCGGGAGAGACGCAGAGGGCCCTGGGTGGGTGAGGTGGGGGCAAGTCCCCATGGAACTGACTAATGCCTGTTCCTCTGGGTCTGTGTCATGGGTGCTGCGCCATCATCGACTGACAAGCGCGGTGACCCGCTAACACAGAGAAGTCTCCTCTGAGAAACAGCCAAGGACGAGGACCCGAATAACTCATGGCATCTCGCTCCAGGACAACATGACACTCCCAGACGCCACCGAAGCCACGGGTGTCTGACCCCGGGCAAGATGGTTCCCATCCGGGAGGCTCGTCTGCGCCTGCGGCGTTGCTGGGGCCTGTCGGTTTTAGCTGATGAAAATCCTTTGTGATCTGTCGAAACCTCAGTGCCACTCTGCTATCCAAAAGCAAGCGTAACAGCTATCAAATCAGTCAAGGTCATCGCCTGACGTTTTTTTTAAGCAAGATGTCTTCGGTAAGATCGCAGACTTAAACAGATAACTGAACCGCAGTGCTTTCTTCTCCTACTCTTACGAACATTCGCGCATTCACAGGTAGAACTCATGGGCCTTACGGACAGACAGTTACAAGTGAATCTTGTAGAAATTTGGACTTTGAGACAGAAAATACCTTCCGATAGTGTGGACGCTTCCTACGAAAGCCAAATACTCATGGTAACTAACAGAAGGCTCTACATACGTTTAGGGTATGTAGGTACAGTTTAAAAAGAAACCCAGGAAACTTGAAATAATTCAAGAACAACTGCTAATCATCTGAGGTTGTACCCCTTTGATGTGTAAGGATCCTACTCTATAAACCTGTAAACATGTTACCTGGTTACTCGAAAGAGTCTTCCTTTTACTGGGAAGGCAGACTATTCATGGCCATGAGTATCCCAGCAGGCCTGCTTCAGAGTTAGAACAATATGGCTAAATCCTAGGATTACAAAAATGACACCTGCCGAGAAAACGAGTTCCAGACGGGGACTTTTATGGATGACCTTGGCTGACAAATGTTTTTTGGAAATTGTTTATTTTAAAATTACCTTCCCAACAAACCATGAAAACACTTGGATGTTAGATGTTTTTTTTTCCTTCATTGAAAACATACTACATTGTCAATGGAGTTTCCAAGTCAGACAGAAAATTGATCAAAACCTAAGGACAGTATTATGGAAGGACAATATTAAAAATGGGTAAGAAAAAGCTTTGTTTGGTGAGATTAAAGGATGGATAACCGTGTCATGGTGGACAGGCAGAAAGGGTGGTAACCTTGTGCTTTTATTCAACTAAGGTACTTACCAAACCTTAGGTTTTTTTGCAGGTGTCCAACTCCCACCTGGACAGGGGTAATTTTCTATATTACACCTAAACCTATTTTAAATAACTGAAGCCTACGGCAACAGCTGTTACGAGTTGATAAAAGAACTTATCAGTCAAATAATAACTACATAATTTAGTACATAAAATAAAACGAGGACAGTAAGAGCTGAAGGTCTCAAAAATATACAACTGGGGAAAGGAACCACTGTACACAATTTGGAGGTTGTTAAAGTGACCGCTTAGAAGGGTGAACAGTGCAAGACATGCTTTTCCAGTTATACGCTCAGAACAGGAGTGCAAACGAAATTAAAGCTTTTGTTTAAAGTTGTAGGAAAAGGAAAGCTTGAAATTAGTACTTAAAAGCTTCCCTCAGGTCATCCCCCAGAAATGAAATGATCGAAATGCTTTTTCATAGTTGGATTTTCTTCAGTGAGTTTCTTTCAGTGGCAGAACTGCATTCTACAAGCTGGGTCCCCTGCTCACACCCGTGGTGATCACACACTGATCCATGCACACACACGTGGTGAGGAAGGGCCACGACCAGTCCCCAGAGGTCCGACAATGACAGAAACTGGCGTTTGGGGTTCTTGCCTTGGTTACTGTACCTGAACCCTACAGAGAACAGAGAAAGCGATGGGCTTTAATGTTCCCTTGTTCCCCTAAAACTGGAGGACAAATGGACTAATTCCTCCCTGGAGGCAAGCTGCTGTGGCAGTGGAAGGTGTTAGGCGCTCAAATAAGCTAACGCTGCTCTAGAAGGTGGAGAAGTAGAGAAGTTCAAGGTCAACGCCAGTGCCAAGAGCTTTTTGCGTGAGCTGACTAGGCGATGCGTGCATGCACCCATGCAAATGCCGGGCGTGGCCCCAGAAGAGAACTGAAAACATGTGTAGAACAACTGGATAAGTCCCTTGCCAGTAGTTTATAAAAATATATAGTCAATCCTGTAGAGGCCCCTCTTACAGTCAACACTATGGAAGTCTGTTTTAGTTACCCATTACTTTGATACCAAAAAGCATTTACTACTTTTCAGACATTCCAGACAAAGGTCACTTATAACAAAAAGTCAACTTTTTTTTTTTTAAAACAAGATACTGTCCATTTAAAAAGTAGGTCTTTTCTTTCAAGTGAAACAGGACACTTTCTGTATTCAACTTAACTTCTAGTCTGTCCAGACTGGTTTGTTTCAGATCCTTCTGTAATGTGCATATATGCAGGAACAAATAAACTTACTTTTAAACGTTATCTGCACAGAAAAAAGTTAACTCCTCAAAACATGATAGGACAGGTCTGGTTAGTACAAATCTATTGCAAAGTAAAAAGACTCTGTGCATCAGTTCAACCAGGAGAAGCGGGAGAAGACTGTCCCAACCGTGAGAGTTCAAGCTGAAGTTGTGTTCTGTCTGAAAGCCCAGAAGCCTCTGGGGTGTCCTGATGGGCGTCACTGCTTCGGCTGCTCAACCGCGTCTTCCTTTGGAGCTTGAAAGCCCCCCACCCCCAACTTTACTTTCTATTCCGAAGACGCTTCGATTTCCTAAGGGAGTCTATGGCTTCTGGTGCCTTCTTCCGTTTCCGAGGGGACTCCTCGTTCTGCCCAGCCCCTGAGGAGTTCCCCACCGCGCTCTCCATGACCTCCCGCAGTTTGCGCTCCAGCTCCGCCAAGCGTGCGTTCTGTTCGCCTATGATCTGGGTCTGCTCTAGCAGCTTCTGGTCCTGGTCCTGAAGCTGCTTCTGCTGCTCCTGCACTTTGGTGCGAAGCTCAGAAATTTCACGCCTGAGAACAGTCACGCCGGCACCGTTTGTCTTAACCTGCTGCTGGAGTTTGGTAACCTCTTGTCTTGAAGGGTTTTGCTTGGAGAAGAGCTGCATGGTTGTGAGGGCTGCAGAAGGTCCCGGAACTGTGGAGAAATGGTTTTAAATGGTCAATTAATCACTTAGAATGTCTCCCACTATTGGTAATACTTCATTAAACTTCTTTTGAAATGGAACAGCCTTATAATATCACTTCTGATCATTTCCTCTTGGCAATCTACACCCGTCTTAACAGTAAATGAGTTTGAATTCTGATGGTTGGGTTCACGTGGCAAAGTATGGATTGCTGGGAAACGGACAAGAGCATTTAACGGAATAACCTTGTACTAACATAGTAGAAAACATTTTTAAGACCTACTAAGAAAACACAAGCAGTAAAATTAGAATAGGACTATTTTCTATCTTCTCTCACACAAGCAAATTTGAACATTTGAGTTAGAAGTCCAGGCCTATCATGTTTTGAAGTTCTCTCTGCACTTAGTTCTATGCAAGAGCTTCCATGTTAGCCAAACAGGAATACCACCAAAGAGTGGTTTCGGCCCACATGATGATCATGAAGAATTTCCGATGTGATGTAGGAAGACGGCTTTGGAATCATTCTGTCTTAGGAATACTACAAAGGTAACATCGGCATAAAAATCACTATCATAAATAACCTCCCTTTAAAAAAATGTTATCTCTTAAAGGTTTTCTGAAAGGACTGGATGGATCCATTCCTACCCTAAACCCGCCACGACATACATATAAATAATATCTTCCTGGACGGATGCATTGTTCCTTCTCTCTCTGTTTACCTTTATCTAATTTCCACAAACACAGCAAGGCTTAGATCAATTCCTACCTCTTGTGAACTCTCAGTCAACAATGGTTCTAGCTTCCTTAAGATCCTGTCTCTGCTACTCATTTGGCATTTCAAAGGACCCTTCTTTAAAATGTTTCTCTTACCAGTGATAATTTAATTTCAAGTCTGGATATGTCTTACCTTTTGACATAGTAAGATCCTTGAGAGCAGACACCAAGTATTACACTTCCTTTTAGTCTCCACAGGACACAGTATAGTGCTGTGCGCGTAATAGGCACTCAATAAATAACTGATTAACGCTGAGATGCCACAGGCATTATGATTCAATTACAGCCAGCTGCTCGGTCAGCCCACTGAGCACTCCAGGGAGAGAACTCATCTGAACAGAACGTGATGTCTTACTAAAAAAGGTTTTCCTGATTTAAACTATTTGTGAGAGTTGAAGATATTTTGAATAATTTTGTCTTTCAGTAGATAAGGGCACAAATCTCTCGGGTTGGATCTACTTCTGCAAAAGAGCTGCTCAAGAAGCAGCGGCAGGGCTCAAAGCAGCCTTACGTGGCCTGTCTTTTCAAGCAGTGGCCACTTTAGGGGATGAAATAATTAAGTGAATAATCCATGAAGAATTTTGGGGGTTTTATCTGGTATATTTCATTCTGTTTTAGCACCATGGATGTTAACTAGTCAGAAACATCAAAACAAAACAACAACAACAAAAGACACCCCACAACCCCCCCCAAACATACACATAGCCTTTTATCCAAAATTCTAAGTTATTGTATGTCAAGAGTCACGGATATGTACAAAGATGCAGCCACTAGACTGTTCTTCAAAGTGTAGTTTAAATACTGAAAAACGACAGACAAACGTGCTCAACAGCAATGGATCGTTTACACGAGTGACGTCATTAAAAATCATGTTGCAGACACTATTTACAGACACAGGAAAGGTCACAATATATGACTAAGTGTGGGTGCGGGGAAGCAAGTTAGGGAACTGTGTATGAATGTTCCTGTTACACTGAACATATCCACACGAGCTACCTGGAGGAGAGCCCATGAGCCTTCCGGACACGTCTGATCCTGGTAACTTCCTCTTCAGAATGGGCACGATCTTCTCATCAAAGTACTCCATCGCCATGGAGGAGATATCCCTTAGCTCCTGAAGTACTTCATGAGCTCGCTGAGGGGCTCTGGTGGAATTGACGTATCTCAACACTCGATAAATCTCATCAATCACCTACAATAAGGAGGTCTCATTAGCACTTTCGATTTTGTCTTTAAAAGAAAATGGCTCGACAGGGAGAGAGGGGACGATGCCGTCTATACCGCATGGCTTTGGGCTTGTCATAAGCCTTCATGTGTTTCATATGCACATTTATTAAGATTTTCTGCATCAGGTGCTGAGGCTAAGGAATCAGGATGAATAAAATACAACTCTTGCTCCAAAGGAAACCAGAGGGCAACAGACACGGAAATAAGTGGTAGGAAAAGGGACATACAAGCCGCTAGAGAAACCGGAGGACTGAACTATGACGCTGAATCCTGTCTGTGGAGAGGGCTAGAGGAATTGACCCAAATCCACTTCACTCCAGCCTGAGGGTTTCCCAAAGCCCCAGGAACCCAGACAGATTCCTGCTCTGGGACCAGGCACCCTGTCCTCGGAACTTTCATTTCTCTTCAGACTTGCTATGGACTGGGATGAGGTCTCCTCGGATTCCCCTCTCCCACTATCAGCAAAGGGTAGTGAGAGGCCCCTTTTCACTTTAAGGGTAACTGCAATGGGAAACACAGGCGTAACATACGTGGGGGAGAGAAAGTTCTGACCATCCTGGTTCCTAATCCTCTTGCTGGAATGGTAGCTGAACCTACCTCAGCTCTAATCCCTACAACTGATACACTGTGCTCCTGTAAACTGACTTGTACCTTATCTTTACTGTTTTTGGTCTTTGAGGTAATAGTGTGAAAGCAAGGTCTCTCTCCATTTGCTCAAGTGTTCCATTAGGAAAGGTAACATGTTACAGAGAGATTACGTTAGTCAAGTGGAATAATCCATGTTTTCAATAAAATTAAAACCATTCTCTTAATTCTGTCCCAAAGTTATGAGCGAAGGACAGGATGAAGGAGATGACCCACACAGCTTCTACCATTCAGAAGGACTGGTGGCCACAATGTCACGTTAGGAAAACATGGTATCGACCCAATTTTCAAAATTATTTCACCCTCCAAACGGTTTTAATTATTTTCTGAAAATTACTTTAGCAGCAAGAATGTAAGGGCATGATGAGTCTGGAGGTCTACTAGAGAGATCACAGGCCTTAGGCTGGTCACTTAAAGTATTTCTAACAGTTCGTGATTTTTCTACTTCTCAGTAGATCATTCCTTCAATCTTTTTAATTTTTTTAAAGTTTTATTTATTCTTTTTAATAATGTCTATACCCAACATGGGCCTCAAACCCAGGACCCAGGGATTACACACTCCACTGACTGAGCCAGCCAGGAGCCGCTGGTCACTCAAAGTTTTTACAGCTTTCAAATATGCTGCATGCTGAACCCCTCCTGAACCTGAGGTGATAATATTTTACAAAGTACAGTACCGACCAAATATGATGCTTCTCTAATGCTCTAAAAGCTCATGTTAAAACTGGCACCACTGGGGTGCCTGGGTGGCTCAGTGGGTTAAGCCTCTGCCTTAAGCTTAGGCTCAGGTCATGGTCTCAGGGTCCTGGGATCAAGCCCTGCATTGGGCTCTATGCTCAGCGGGGAGCCTGCTTCCCCCTCTTTCTCTGCCTGCCTCTCTGCCTGCTTGTGATCTCTGTCAAATAGATAAATAAAATCTTAAAGACCCCAAAAACCGGCACTGTAATAAATGACATACACAAACACGACTGAAGTACGTGGACTATTAAGAGAATTTCTATCTTGTGTAATCTAATATTGAGCAAAGTTCCTATTAGAAAACAGAACTTTGATGTCCTCATTTTTTCCTCATATTAGATCTTTTTGTTCTACTTGAAATTTTCTTAACTTTCCCCTCTACCCCTTTTATTTAATTAAATGCTTTTTTTATATTTAAAAAATTTAAGTGCACTTAAAAAAATTTCTGATTATTTCTATATGGCACATGTTTGACTCTATCTCTAATGATTCTCTGTGCTCTGCTCCTATTTAAGAACCTCAGTCGTTAAGCATCTGCCTTCAGGTCAGGTCATGATCCCAGGGTCCTGGGATCAAGCCCTGTATCAGGTTTCCTGCTCAGCCTGCTCGGAAGGAAGGTTGCTTCTCCCTCTTCCACTCCCCTACATGTGTTCCCTCGCTTGCTGTGTGTGTGTGTGTGTGTGTGTGTCTCTTTCTCTCTCTGTCAAATCAATCAATCATTTTAAAAAACCCCCCAAAACACATAGACAGCTCACCAGAACCCCTGTGTTTAACCCAGAGGGCAGGTGGGGTGGGGGGTAGAGGAGAAGGGAGGGGTGGGGGCGAGGGGAGGGGAGGGGCAGTGTGCCAAGAAAGCAGGGGAGGGGAAGAGGGGAGCAGGGGGGCTGATGACAAGGGGGGTGTGGTGGGGACACTGGGAAGGGGGATGGCTGTAAAAGTCAACGCAAGAACAGATTGATTTTTCTTCTTTCATTTTAAAGGTTCAGGGGCTGTATATATTTATTTTGGGGCCAGCACAGTAAAAAGAAGAAATGTGCCCAAATAGTACTGATTCTAAGAATGTCTTCATATTAAAATCAATTTTAAAAGAGATAAAAAACACAACATTCTGGAAACATTCAATAAACTCAAAGAATATTTCTCAAAATAAGGGACCCATATTCTTCAAAAGCAAAGGAAGCCCAGGAACTATTCCACATTAAGGAGGTTACAGAGTCCAGCGTGACTGCAGACTGGGTTCTGGACTGAGAAAAAAGTCTCTAGGACAAGTAACACTAGCAGCGGTGAAATGTGATGTGGGCTGTCAGAGAGAGAGGCCATTGCAGCAAACTCACATTTCCTGATTTGGTAACTGTGCTGCGGCTCAGTTCGCGAATGCCCTTATCTCAGGAACTACATCAGAATATTTAAGAATAAAGGGTCATGGTATCTCCACTATTCTGAAATGGTTCAGAAGAAATAAAACATAGAGAATAAAAGCAAACGGGACAGAAGGTGATAATGCGGGATCTGGATAAAAGACGTATGGGAGATCCTTGTACTATTCTTGCAATTTCTGTGCAAATGTGAAATTGCATCAAGACAAGAAGTTACCAGAAAAAAAGAAAAGACTGCAAAATGCCACACTGCTGTCCCTCCTGCCGCCTCCCTGGCCCAAACATGAAAAACCAACTAACAAAACCCAATTCTCAGATTTTTAGTTTGTTCAGGGAAATCCTGCCTTATGACCCTGCATAATCATTCACACTGAAAATCCTGACTTTTGGGAACCACTGGGTTTCAGTGAGCACAGAAGCGTTATCAGAGTCGCTGGTAAGGCCTTAATTAACAGGGTCTTACCCATGTTTTTCTTCACTATTCTATTTCCCAGAACGGTCGGTTGGCCTCTGTTCACTTGTGTGCTTCAGTATGTGTGAACTGCCAACACGGATGCTGAATTTTTTGTACAAAGTGTGACTTCTGTCAGAAGAGTTGAAAAATACCAATACAGTGGTCAGGGTCGGCAGCTGGGGCCCTACTGACCTGCAGCTGTTTCTGTTCCAATGTTCTACTGGAACACAGGCACATGCCTCTATTTCCCGCATGCTGTCCATGGCTGTTTCATGGAGCTGAGAGAGACCACGTGGCCTGCAAAGCCAGAGCTGCTTACTACCTGGCCCGTTATAGAAGGAGTTTCCTGATCCCGTTCCATGATCGACAGTGGCAAACTACCAACCAGTCTGACTCTCTTTTAATGCCCTTGCGATCCGTACGGTCTCCCTGTCCAGAGACCCCATTTTAAACCCCTTCTGCGAGTAAGACCTGGTTTTTCACTCAGGAGGAGGGCAGTGACCTAGCTGTTTGGAGTTGGAGAGGGGACCTGTAGGTTTAAATCATTTTTAAATACAGAGACGCGACCCACCCTCCCTTGTTAGTCCCACTCGCACTTGGAGCTTTCTAGAGGCCAGCTGTGCAGACCACGCTGCCTCCCAGCTCTCCCACGGCCCATCTAGGCTTTAACCTCCTCAGCTCTGCTAAACCAGCTACCACTTCTCGTGTACTTTCCAGCTTCCAGAATTTTGTTGCTGCTGCTCTGAGTTCACTCTCATGGGTCTCGGTCTTTTTTTCCTTTTTAAAACTAGCTCCTTTACTGTAAGAACAAGCTTTGGGAGGAATTTGAGGTAAACATGCATTTAATCTGCCATCTTTAACCTACCATTTGCTTTTAAGAGTAAATTTGATTGCTCTTTCAGAGAATATTTAATTTTGAGAGGCGGAGGGAATCTTAAGAAGGCTCTGGGCTAAGAATGGAGCCTGACATGGGGCTCGATCCCATGACCCTGAGATCACAACCAGAGCTGAAATCAAGAGTTGGTCACTTAAGTGACTGAGCCACCCAGGCACCCCAGAGAACAACTTTAAAAATGCTTTTTGCCTGGGCACCTGGGTGGCTCAGTGGGTTAAAGCCTCTGCCTTCGGCTCAGGTCATGATCCCAGAGTCCTGGGATCGAGCCCCGCATCGGGCTCTCTGCTCAGCAGGGAGCCTGCTTCCTCCTCTCTCTCTGCCTGACTCTCTGCCTACTTGTAATCTCTGTCTGTCAAATAAATAAATAAATAAATAATCTTTTAAAAAAAATGCTTTTTGCCCGTGTTAGTTTAAAATTCCAAAATTCTGTATGTATCAGGCATTCTAATTTAAACTATAATGTTGATATTACCCAGGTTCACTTAAGTAGCTTGTGAAAGAGTAATCTGTGAATGAAATATTTACTATAGACATGAATTCTACCAAAACCATAAAAATGAGTTCTTTTATGAAGTATGAAAATTCCTGAATTTTTAAAAGTTTTTAAAGATTTACCCATTTGTCAGAGAGCGAGTGAGAGAAAAAGAGCACAAGCAGGGGGAGGGGCAGGCAGAGGGAGAAGTAGGCTCCCCACTGAGCAGGGAGCCTAATGCGGGACTCGATCCCCACACCCCAGGACCATGACCTGAGCTGAAGGCAGACGCTTAACCTACTGAGCCACCCAGATATCCCAGAAGTTCCTGAACTTGTAAGTAAAATCCAGAAGCAGGATCTGGGGGAACACAAGAATAACCTAATATAGAAACCTTGTACCAGATCAAGATTATAGGTTACACTGAGAAAGAATTATTATTTTTTAAAGATCTTATTTATCTGCCAGAGAGAGAGGGAGCAGCAGGCAGAGGGAGAGGGTGAAGCAGACTCCCCGCACAGCAGGGAGACGAATGCAAGGTTCAATCCCAGGACCCTGGGGTCATGACCTGAGCCGAAGGCAGATGCATAACCGGGGGAGCCACCAAGTGTCCCTGAGAATTATTTTATAGAATGTACTCATTTAGGCATGTGAGGATTAAATGCCATGTCCTTTGGTTCTGAAGACAGAATGTGAGGACTTTTAGGCTGAGAAGTACAAAAGAGGAGAAATAAAAAAACAACCCCAAATTACAAAGTGTGTTAGGTTGGCAGTTTCGTTTTTGTCTAAGCAAGCTAAAAAGTACCAGCTACATGAAAATAAAAAGTAACATTCTGGGTGGTGCCTGGCTGGCTTGGTCGGTCGGTAAAGCAGACAACTCTTGCTCTTGGGGTCATGAGTCTGAGCCCCATGTTGGGCTCAGAGATTACTTAATTTAAAAAAAAAAAAAAAAGAAAAAGAAAAAGAAAAAAAAAGTAATATTCTAAGGATACACAGTGTTTGTTGTTTTAGGCAAAATATAAGCTATGAAGATGGCACTTTTAAGAAACAAAGTTATTCAAGATGAATCCAACAAAAATCATTTGGTTTTTGCGCCGGGGGGGGGTATTTTTCAGGTTTACAGGAGAAAACTTTGATGAGTTTTTGTGAAGACACAGGTCCTACTAAGGAAGAATCAGCAGGCTGGCGCGAAGCTTCTGTCAAACCCATCTGCCAGCTGAGCCCTGGTGTTCTTACCAAGGGTACAGAGACAGACCCTCCACTGCCGTGTGGAAAGGAAAGGAGGCCATGCACGTGAATGTGCTCTGAGGACTAAGTGTTTCCTGCATCTAGCATGAGAGCAGTGACGAAGGAGAGGGAGAGCGACGGGTCTGGGTTAAAGGTGGGCTTGGGCATGAAACTCCTCTTTGACCGCTGTGCCGCTGAGGGCCCAGGAAGGGCTGCAGTGAGGAGCTGGCCCAAGCTGATGCCCAGGGGGGCCTGCTGAGCCTTGACACCTTAACATATTCTCCATGGTGCAGTGGTTTTGTTATTTTGATCCTAAAATTAACTTGAAGAGTCAACAGAAACTTGCAAAAAACCAGGATTCAACTGGATTTATTTGTTCAGACAGTCAAGACCAGCATTCCAATCACATGACCCTGAACACCCAGAAAGACCCGCCCCTTCTGTAAAGGTCAAGTACTAGGCATCTCAGCTCTGCGGCCCGTGTGGACTGAGCACATACTACTCCACTCTCGTTTGTAATAACTGGCTGAAGTGTTTCTGAGGTTATGAAAACTCTAAGATGCTTCTCAAATATTGACATTCCTAACAATGAGATACGCAACAAAAACCACGAGGCAGCAGGGGAAAACCTACACTAGTTCCATGAACTTCCCTGATCACTTGAGAGATGAGGCCTGTACACGAAATCTGGATGCAGTATGGAGTAAGAATCAGAATCACTTTTTAAAGTTAAGTACTCCACAGAAGAATTTGTAGCTAACAGGAGGCAAGTGAGATATACTGAAGAATATTTCAAATAAAATAAGAAACAGGATCCCGCTCCATAAACATCACAGAAAACTGAAAATGGAGGAAATACAGAATACTGCCCTTGTTAAGTACTTACGGAAATAACCAAAAGAGAACATTCCAGTTTTTCTAGGAACTGATTAGTTCCGACCATAAGGGAATCTTTTGCTAGCATCAACTAAGTACCAAAAGGACCCTTCAATCCACCTCTGCCTCTTCCACATACGGTACGAAGAGACTTCATCTGAATTTACTCTCCATTCAGGAAGCAAGATACCACACGCACTGAGGCAGTATCTTGAGTAGCACGTTGTGAACTTGGGGACGGTAAATATGCCACGACAGATTGACTTCTGGGTTCAGTAGCACCACTCCTGTGCTGCTATCCAGTAACTGTCTATTCTCGCTGAATCTGGAAGTATTTAAATTGTCTTCATGAAACGCTTCTCACACAAAACAAAAACCAGCTTGTCCCTCCTACTCCACCCAAATTAGAACAATCCTGAAGGCAGGGACAGTACCTGACTTGTTTGCTGTCGATCTTAAACAAAGAGTAAAAGCCCACAAATGTGTTTTTCAGCAGGAACTCTGTTTTCTCTTCCTATTTATGGAAAGAGTTTGTTAACTGGAGTTGAGGATGAATTCCTAACAAGCTTTTCTAAAGAACAGCAGAGCATCTACTGTGTGTTTCACAATGAGACTTTTAAACATGAAGGTCATGTACGGTATGGACTTATTATCAGTTATTGCACAGAAACTAAACAAACCCATTCCAGAAACTCATTCCAGAGAGACGGGTACAATTCTGACATTTAAACAATTGCTTAACAATAATATAACTTTAAGTAGTGCACTCCAGCTGTTTTGGGAAAGCAGTTCTATTTTACCTTTCCTGGGATGAAGCAACAGAGATTGGAATCCACATACTTCATGAAAGTCATGTTTAACAGTGAGAGCCTTGTTTCCACAGCAGCAAGGATGTCTGCGTGACGAGCTAACGAGTGGTTTCTTCTTTCCGACTCCCTCCTAGAATAAGAAAAAAAAGCAAGCATGAAAGAAATATTGTGAACTAAATGGTAAGCAGTGAAAATGATTTCCTGGGACCTCTTTTTTCTTTTTTAAAAGATTTTATTTATTTGACAGACAGAGATCACAAGTAGGTGGAGAGGCAGGCAAAGAGAGAGGAGGAAGCAGGCTCCCCGCTGAGCAGAGAGCCTGATGTGGGGCTCAATCCTGGGACCCTGGGATCATGACCTGAGCGGAAAGCAGAGGCTTAACTCACTGAGTCACCCAGGCGCTCCCTTCCTGGGATTTCTAACAGTCTAATATTTACCTGTGAATTTGATACCTAGAGTTGGGTCATGATTTAACCGAAATCACCAATGAATCGCTATGTCCAAAAATCCCTGCCAAGGACTAGTACTCACTGATAAATTGGGGGGGGGGGGGGGGAGTCCGGTTTTTTTGTGTGTTTTGCTGTATCAAGCCTAATGGCCATTGGAATAAAAAAAAAAATCAGAGAAATGGAAGAATTACACAGGGACATGTGAACAAGGGACATATGTTTTTACCCATAAAATCAGCTCACTTAAACTTCTATATAAAAATTTTTTTTAAACTGTTTATTTATTTTAGAGAGAGAAAGAGAGACAAAGAATGGGGATGGGGCAGAGAGAAATTTTAAGCAGACTCCGCGCTAAGCAGGGAGCCTAACATGTGACTCAATCTCACGACCCTGAGATCATGATCTGATCCAAAACCAAGAGTTGGTGGCTTTACTGACTGAGCCACACAAGCGCCCCTAGCTCACTTACACTTTTCAAGTGTTACTGAAAAATACTTCACATACAAAATTCACTTTGGAGGTGTGTGACTTCATGATTTCTGGTATATTTAGAGTTGTGCACCCACCATCACCATTTAATTTCTCAACGTTTCATGACCACAAAATGAAAGCCCATAACTATTACCAGTCACTCCCATTCCCTAGCCCTTGGCAACCACCGGTGTACTTGCTGCTTCTACGGATCTGCCTGTTGTGGACATGGCAGGTAACTGGAGTTGTAGGATATGTGGCATTTTGGGTCCATCCTTGTTCATGGAGCACAGCTCTCAGGGCTTATCTATGTTGGAGCGCGTATCCAGGACTCCATTCCTCTCCACTGCCGGCTGACGTTCTGTCATACAGACATGGCATCATTCTGAGGACCTGATCATCAGGTGATGACTTCTGGGCTGTTTCCACTCTCTGGCTATTATGAATAATGTGACACAGAACACTCACATACGTTTTTGGCGTGACTGTATTTCCATTTCTTTTGCTATATACCTAGGAGTGTAGGTATATAGCAAAAGAAATGAAAATATGTACGGAAATGGAAATACATATATTCTATGTATATAGAATATACGCTGGGTCATTTGTTAATTCTGTGTTTAGGCTTTTGAGGAACAAAGGGTTTTTTCTAAAGGGCGGAACCACTTTACAATCCCACCAGTAATTTATGATGGTTCTGATTTGGCCACATCCTTTCCAAGGTTTTTTGGTCTTTACTCTGGCCATCCTGGCTGTGTGCTATCTGTGTTTTGATCCGCAGAGCCACCGGCTGGGGACCGCTGAGGTTGAACACCCTGCCTATGCTTAGCCTTCAGCTTCTCTTCTTTGGAGAAATGTCTCTTCAAGTCCTTTGCCCACTTTTAAACTGGGTTCCGTGGCTTTTTTATTGTTGAGCTCTATGAGTTCCGCATACTACGTGGATCGAGGTCCCTCACTGGGTATTTGAGCTGTTAACTCTTTTCTCCCCTCGTGTGGGCTGTCCCTTCACCATCTTGATGTCATCCTCTGCGGCACAAGTTTAAATTCTGAGAAAGTCCAGTCTGCCTACTCTTTTGTTACTCGTGCTTTTGGTGTCATAGCAAAGAAACCACTGCCGAATCCAAGTCCATGGAGGTCAGTACTATTTACAGTGGAGCCCTGACACTCACACTTCGACTATAGTCCACTTCGAGTTAGTTTTTGTAGATGGTATGAAGAAGGGGCCCAACTCCATTCTTCTGTATACAGACACCCAGCTGTCCTAGCATCATTTGGGGAAAGCATTATTCTTTCCCCCATTGAGTTGTCTTGGCATCTGGCTTGAAAATCAGCTCACTACATATGTAAGGGTTTCTTGTTTATCCTCCTGGTTCCACTCCACCTGTGTACCCATCTGTCTTTATGCCCGCACCACACTGGTTTGATTACGGCAGCTTTGCAGTAAGTTTTAATATTGGAAAGGTGCAGGACTCTGTCACCTTTGTTGATCTTTCTTAAGACTGTTTTGATTAGGGGCACCTGGGTGGCTCAGTGGGTTAAAGCCTCTGCCTTCGGCTCAGGTCATGATCTCAGGGTCCTGGGATCGAGCCCCGCATCGGGCTCTCTGCTCGGCAGGGAGCCTGCTTCCCCCTCTCTGTCTGAGGGCCTCTCTGCCTACTTGTGATCTCTATCTCTGTCAAATGAATAAATAAAATCTTAAAAAAAAAAAAAAAGACTGTTTTGATTATTGAGTCATCTGTATTTCTGTAGAACTGTAGGATGAGCCTGTCACTTTCCGCACAAACCACAGCTAGGATTTGGACAGGGCTTACACTGCATGTGCACAACCACTTGGGGAGAACCGCCACCTTCAGAACAAAAAGTCTTCCCGTTCAACACCATTTAAGTCTCTTTCTATTTCTTTTACCAATGTTTTGTGGTTTTCAGCAGACCAGTCTTCTTTTGTTATAGTCATTACTAAGTATCTTATTCTCCTTGATGGTATTATAAATGGAATTTTTTTTTTTTTTTTAAAGTAAGCTCTATGCTCAACAACCCAGAGATCAAGAGTCTCATGTTCTTGTGGCTGAGCCAGCCAGGCCCCTGTCCCCCTTTTCTGAGTCTAGTTGACACACAGTGCTACACTAGTTTCAGGGGTACAACACAGTGCGTTTCAGCATCTCTCTAACTTATGCCATGCTCATCCCAAGTGTAGCAGACAATGCTATTATTTCGCCAGGGACTATATTCCCTGTGTTGTACTTTTTATCCCCATGACTTTTTCATTCCATCACTGGAAGCCTGCGGAGATCCCACTCCGCTTCACCCACCCTGCCCATCCCTGCATCCTGCAGTTAACTTGTTTTTGGATCGTTGGTTGCTAACACATACAATTATGCAACTCCTTTTCGCGCACTGATCTTGCACCCTATATCCCTGCTGAGTTTTTATGAGCTCTAACAATTACAGGACTCCTTATGCATATGATCACATATATAGGAGATCTTGTCACCTCTGAAGAGAGAAAACGACTTCCTCCTTTCCAATCTGGAAGCCTTTTATTTCATTTTCTTGCCAAACTGCCCTGACTAGAACCTCCAGTATAATGTTCAACAGAAATGGTTAGAGTGGGCAAACCATAGTCAAAATCACTTACTGTGATTTAGGTACCCTTCCCTATAAAAACCTGGAAACCATTTAATATGTAAACTTACCCAAATTAAAAAAACAAACCCAAAACAACAGGGGTGCCCCATGTCAGGTAGAGCCATTACTTTAAAAACAAAAATCCAAAAAAACCCCAACCAAGAAAGAGAAAGAAAATTCCCACTTGTAAATTATTGCCAGCACTAGGCACAACGTACCTTGGAAGTTGTGCTTTAACTTGTTTCTGACATAGATTGTGGTATCTCTCCACTTTTAGAAATCCCTGATTCAACATTCTCTGGCAGACCAAGTCCATTCTTTTACAAACCTACAGGGAGAAAGAAGGAAGAGGGAGAATTTTAACAGATAAAACCCAAATATATAACAGACAATTAACTTAGACTCCTGTTAGCTGAAGTTCTCTGTGCCAGTACTGTTCTGCAGTTTGCTGTCTGAATCTCTAAATCAGTACACATGGTAATACGTGTGGTGTATACTGAGGTGAACCCCTCCTGCTTTATAACTCTCATGGCATTATGTTAAGAAATTAATACTATGTGTAGGCAAGGAATTTTACTTTTATTTTAGGTATTGGTTGAATGTTCTAAATGTATCCCCACTACTATGGTCAGAAAATGTAGTCCTGAAGATCAATAAAACAACATATTCAAAAAGTTTTTAATGGTTTGAAAAAAGAAAGTTCTCCAGTAGCTCAAAATGTGTATTCAAACTGAAGCTCAACCTCTCATAAAGTTTATGTGAGCTATAACCAGAATGAGAATTCTTACTTATATCTACAAACCAGGGTTAACTACGGAGAGTTACTAAATACTGTCCTGTCTTCCATAATATCAAATATTTTAACATATGTAGCAGAACCTCGACTATTTTGAATCCTTAAGGAAAACTATGTTTTATACAGTAAAAGCACAGGACCAGAAGTCCGAACACCTGAATTTCAACGTAACTTTTACGTGTTCTTGAGCAAGTCAGCTCAATAAAGCTGGAGCCAGCCTTCTGTACAATTGGATAGTACCTAACTCACAGAGGTAGCACTGGGATTAAATGAAACAATACACACTAAAATCACTCTGATAAACTCTAAAGTGCTCTGTAAAAATTACGTTAAATTGTTTAACTTAGTACTAACTGGAAAATGTTGCTCCAGAGATGCCGTATTTCTGAGAAATGCAGCATCTTTGTTATCTTAATAAAACCTGGGGCACAAAATCCTTTTGTTCTTCGATCCCTGAGGATTTTGCAGTGACTCGGAGGCATCACCTTGAATGTCAGTTCCCACTGTACAGGTGTGGATATTTAAAGTGCAAGACACTGAAATAAATCTAGATCAAGGCCAAGGCGATTAGGCGGGGGCTGTCCTATGCTTCTCTCTCTCATAGCACCTGGCACAAATGCTTGACAAATACTTGCTGAAACTGAAATGTTTGTTTTCTCTGAGAATACACAGACAAAAATTCTGGCAAACTGGATTGAAGCTAACGAAAGCTGTAGTGCTTATTACTTATTGACAAAAGCTTTAATACTAGAGTATTAAACACTATGTAGTTCCGAAATCAGAGCACACTAAATGAAAGGTATTAAGGAAAACACTTCTTTTCCATTTGAAAATAAATAAAAACAACAAACTTTAAGTAATGAAACTAAGAGTAATTCCTAGTTATATTTTAGAATATGGTGGGATCTATTTCTAACTAAACCAAACCAGCTGTCAACAGTCAACATATGGTCAGTGTCTATTAAAAAATAACATTAATAGGGGCGCCTGGGTGGCTCAGTGGGTTAAAGCCTCTGCCTTCAGCTCAGGTCATGATCCCGGGGTCCTGGGATCGAGCCCCGCATCGGGCTCTCTGCTCAGCAGGGATCCTGCTTCCTCCTCTCTCTCTGCCTGCCTCTCTGCCTACTTGTAATCTCTGTCAAACAAATAAATAAATAAATCTTTAAAAAAAAAAGACATTAATAAAACCAAAACATATAAACATAAATACATGTTAAAGTTTATTTATGATTTTTAGTAATCTCCACACCCATCCCGGGGCTCGAACCCATGACCCTGAGACCAAGAGTTGCACACTCCTCTGCCTGAACCAGCCAGGTGCCCCAGTATAAATAACTTTTAAAGGAAAAATAACTCTTCAGAAAAAAAGTATTTAGAGTTACATTTTTGCAAATCTCTTTGATATGTAGTTTTATAGAACAGAAATAAACTGCCATATCTGCTTCTGTATCCAGTCTACTGAAGTATTACCTTAGACAGTTCGAGAAAGCACACAAGCACACATTTCATGAGTTATCTGTATGCTGACATCATCACATGTCACAGAGCTCCTGGAAAGCTCCACTGTCTACTTGTGAAAGGCAGAAATAACAACTTAAAACTATAATGGAAAGACTTCAGATCTTACAGACTCCCTGAAAGGGCCTTGGGGACCTCTCTGGGAGCCCAAGACTAAACTTTAAGAACCACTGTCCCACTCCTAAATAAACATTGTCACGAGTACTGGTACTGAGACTTTAGGTGAAATAAATATATATATATATATATATATATATATGATCTACTTTTATTTTATCTTTGTTTTTGTGCTGTTGGTCATTGTTTACTGAACACCCAGGAAAGAAAGAATACCAAATTAAATGCTGTTCTTTTCTTACAATATTGATTAATGCTTAAAATATTTTTGACCTCAGCTTTTGTGGTGCTGTTCTCATTTGTCTGTCTTTGTGACCTCCTGTTTTCCCAAAACTGACGGGAAGAAATTTTACTTTACTAGTTATTAAAATAGAAAAAAAAAATCCTAGCAATCTGGTCATTTATCCAAGACAGTAAAATAAAATTCTGGACTCTAATATACCAAGATGATGACTACGTCAAAAACGATCATGGCATTCAGAGATCAGCACAAATAGATACTTATCAACATACCAGGGAGCTCACGGAATACTAGTCTCCAGCGGAGACATTCAGTTTGGGCTCCTCTGTTACTGCTTTTCTAGTTAGAAGAGATGTGGTTTTTCTTTAATTATTTGAAGAGTTAAAATGCCATGTTTATCCTCTTCCATCATTTTCTAACCTAAGTAGTAATGAAATATTTTGTTCACTTTGTCTAGGAATCTTTTTTGATTTCTTGTGCCACCATGGTCCTACTTAACGATGCAAGACACTTATGCCATAAATTCGTGAAACCTGTAATTTTCCTGTGAAACCTAATCTTAGCGTCAAATCTCGGTTGATTCTAAGATGCACATCTTTCCAGATTTTAACATTTGACATCGGAGTGGTCTTACAATAACTGGCAGCATTTCTTTTTCAGAGGGCTGACAGGCTACAAAATATAAAAGGGTGGACTTCTTTGATTTTGTTTAAGATGCTGCAGAGACTTTAAGACGTCACCAAATTCAATAAAAGCCCCTCGGAGAGGGGTGGGGAAGCACTGCCAGAATATACATACAAATTGATCAAGATGCATTCTGATTTCAAAAATCCTAAAACACGAAACTGTATCTTAGAATCCAGGAAATGTTGTAATGGATTCGGATTTTTCATGTCCTTATTTAGTGCTCTACAGTTCTCAAATGAATTGAATACTTGATGCTTTTCTCCAATTAATCCAGAAGCTATTATCAAAGATTAGGCCACTTACCAATAACCCTCAAACTGGAAAGAACTTAAGACACCAGAACCTTTCCTTTCTTTTTACAGTGAGAACATGAGGCCTTAAGAAATTATGTAATGTGTACAAAGTCAAACTACGCAGTGGCAAAAATGAAATTAAGAATTCAGGCTTCTAATTAGTATCTTTTTAAATTTAGTGATCTGCAGCTCTACAGAGTGAAACAATTATCCTAACAATTCTCAACTGATTGGTCTCAACTAACACTCTGCTGCTACAGAAAATGTTGGCACAAGTCTCAAGTAGGACTTCCCGAGGCAGTATGAGATTTTAAGGACATTAGGGGGTGTTCTCACCACACTGCTAAAGTTTAGAGAGATGGTGCTAGTCTATATCTTTCTAGAATTCTTTCAAAGTTCAAAAATCAGAAGTCAATTATGAGGAAACAATGAGACAAATCTGCACTGTAGAACATTTTATAAGCCATCTGCCCTGATTCTTCGAAAAGCCAACTGCACGAAGAATGAAAAAAGTAGGGAGAATGTTCTAGATTAAAAAGACAAATGTGTTACTAGATTCAAAAGCCTTATCCCCCACCAAAAAAAAGCTCTAAGGACATTTTGGGGATAACTGAGAAATCAGAATATAAAATGTAATGTTAAATCCCTGGGAAGTGATAATACCATGATTACACAAGGGACAAAATGTCATTATATTTGCATTTTATTTTCAAATGGTTTAATGAAATAATCTGTGTGAAGGACATACAACACACACATTTAGAGAGGGAAAGAATGAGCATGTAAGTGAAACAGAGCAGATATTGCAAAAAGTTAATGATGAGTGATAAAATCACTTAAAATTCTGTCTATGTGATATGGATTGTCTAATATATAATACCATATACAGAGAGACACAGAATTAATTATCTGTAGGTAGAATTACAATAAATTTTAAGACTCTGAACTATAGGAAACAAACCAAGGGTTGCTGGAGGGAATGTGGGGGGGATGGGGTAACTGGGTGATGGAATTAAGGAGGGCACTTTATGGAATGAGCACTGGGTGTTATATGCAAACTGACGAATCACTAAATTCTACTCCTGAAACTAATAATATAGTATATGTTAACTCAATAGAATTTAAATCAAAAAATTAAAAAAAAAAAAAAAAGAATTACAACAAATTTTAAATTATCGGGGTATCCTCCTTAGATGTTCATTTGGAAAGAAAATGTAAATTTATTTTATTTTTAAAGGTTTTTAATTATTTATTTGAGAGAGAGGCAGAGTGAGAGAGATCACAGAGGGAGAGGGAGAAGCAGACTCACCACTTAGCAGACAGCCTGATGCTTGATCCCAGGACCCTGAGATCAGGACCCAACCCAAAAGCAGACACTTAACTGACTGAGCCACCCAGGTGTTCCTAAAAATTTATTTTAATATTAGCCTGAGCAAAACAATTAGGAAGAAAAGCCTGTTTCCAGGATTTCTACAATACAGCCTAGAAGCCAAATAGAACCGCTTTTCTGATTATTCTGGTTTTCATTATCTGTAGCGTCATTCTCTTCATTAATACAGGAACGGAGGGTTGCTTACAATGGAGCCTGATGCGGGGTGCCTGGGTGGCTCGTGGGTTAAGCCTCTGCCTTAGGCAGGTCATGAATTCAAGGTCCTGGGATCGAGCCCTGCATTGGG